AGGATGACGAAGCTAATACTTTTGAAATAGCAATGTTAGACATTGATTTCTAAAAAAGGCAAATGAAAAGGATGTATAGATGATACATTTTGATGGTTCCGAAGAACATTCGAATAAGATTTGTAAAACGTTAAAGTCTCTTAATAGACTTAAGCATGCCTTTAGGAATAAAGTTGATGTTTTTATGAAACGATCAAAAAGTTTGATTATTCATCAAAAAACAAAGACGAATCTTATGTATATAAGAAGTTAGTGAGAGACTACTAATCATGGTTATTCAACACAAAATTACACCTTGACTATAATATTATCATGTTGTAAACAAAATATTAAGGAATCTAAAAGAAAATCTCCAAGAATAACATTGGAGAGTAACCTACAATCTAAGAGTATAGATCTATAGAGATAGATCACTTAGAATGTGAGGAGTCTCCCAAGGTAGTTACAATGACATGATAATAAAAGGTTTACTATGAAAAAATCAAAGAAGGTTTTACTCCGATGTCATATAGCTTGATGATCGATAATAAAGGATCCATAGCACAAGCAAAGGGATCAAGGTCTTATCAACATTCCAAGTATGTATTGCATTGCTATAACTTAATTATAGAGACAAAAAGGTCATGGTAACATAAAGATAAAAAAGGTTTACACCGACAATAACATAGCCGACCCCTTGACTAAGCTTTTGTCACAACTGAAACATGAGACGTTCACCGGATTGTCGGGATTGAGGGACATGTGTAAGTGGGAGATTACTAGTGTAAGTGGCCAAGATCCAATAATGTTTGGATGGGATTGAGTTAATTTATTATTATGTTATTTATTTTAATAATAATAAAGAAGTCATTTTATTAATTTTTATGTTTTATGTTTGTAAATTCATTAGAATTAGATAAAAGTTCTTATGATATGTATTTGCAATAGTGCTTGATAGAAACATGTGAGACAAACACTAATGTATGTAAATGATATCATTAAATGTCTAAAGTCATAAGCATTGTCAAGAATGGACATTGTTTATATATGGATAGACTTGTAAGTGCTATGCTCACATTATATGATGGTAGTAGGAGATCAAATAAAGCACTTAGGTGATTCATGTTAGAAAACATATTATCGACGTCACCCATCGCTATAAGAGTCCAAAACAAGGATTTGCCACCTAGCTAATCGAGGAAAATTAGGAAACCCTAGATGTACTCGTTCTACATGTATATCCGGATAAGAGGTTGGTTACATATAGGGAAGACATGTCGTGACCATCATCCCGTTCTACTTAAGGTAGGTCGCATTGTTTATCTATAAATATAAAAATTAAGTTTTTATCATGTTATACTTCTATGCCTATTTAAATGAGTTTATGTTGTAAAAAATGGGACATGATGGTTTGGGTATAAAACAAGGTAGTTTGGACGTTCAAGCCGATCCAAGGCCAATATGTCCAACCCAAACGGGAAAAAGATGAAAAATTGAAATTTCGACTAGTCATTAGTGAACATAACCTATTATTAACAATAGGCAAGTTTTTAAAGATAAATAGCCTTTTGTTGGGATGAGCTACGAGTCATCGCCGACTTTGATTACATAAGTGGGAAGCCATCGACGACTTCGAGTCATACGTTTAAGAAACTATCATAACTTCATTACGAAGTGGAAAGTCATTAACAACTTCATGTCGCTCTAGTGAAAAGCGAGATAACTATTTAGAAGCCATCGACAGCCTTTGTCACATAAGTGGAAAGCCATTGACAACTTCGTTTCAAACAAACAGGCAAAAAATGAAAAAATTATTTTCGAAGCCACCGATGACTTTGTTTTGACGAAATAGGCAATAAAACATAGAAAATAGATATCAAGAAACAATAAACAAAAACCAGGAAAAATAGAAATTAGACACTAGGAAAAATGATTTTGAAACCACTGATCGCTTTATTGTAACATTGTAAATAATCATGGAAAGTCAATTGAGGCAAAAAAATTGGGACAAATTTTATATTTTGACGTACATGCATAGTAACAGGAAAACATGACATACTATTTGTCACCACACGACGTCGGACGAGACCCTCAAAAGAAATTAAAGTCTTAGCGTTAACTATTTACAAAATTATTTACAGTGGTTTTGGAGTCGCCACCTAGTATTTAAGGGACTAGGAACCTAAAAGTAGCACTCGGTTCGGAGATTCCTAAGGTAAGGAGTTGGTTATGCTTTTAGGAAGGTATTTAATCACCTAAAAGTGCCCTTTTCGAAAAAAGGTATCATGTGTTGAAATAATCATGTATGATTTAGTTCTAAATTCATCGCCCGAAAATCCATGTCAAGCTATTTTCTAATTTTTAAACTCCTATTTTTTCAGAATAAGTAAATTTTTTTTTTAGTTTTGGGCGTGGCATCATATTGAAACGATCATCGATCTCCTTCATCGGATGACATATCGATTCAAACATCGGATCCACTAAAAGCCTTGACACAACCGACGTGTCGGAGGATGTCTTAATTAAAATGTGATTTTTGGTGACATCAACCCCTATTAAATAGGAGACTTCGTCAAAAAATTTTATAATTTTTTTCTAACAATAATATCAATATATATATATATATATATATATATATATATAAGAAAAGGAATAAACCATTAACCCACAACTTATTTTTCTACCCATCCTTTTTTCCTTTTTTCCTTTCTTTTTTTTAATTTTTTCTTCCCAAATTCTATTTTTTTATTTTTTTTATTTTATTTTTTTTAAGAGAAGGTCGGAATGGCACCGGACTTCCTTTCTATTTATTTAATTTTTTTTTTTGTTTTTGAAAGGTGGGCTACGAGTCTGGACCTTTTTTTTTTTTTGGGATAAAGTGGTACTGGCTGGGCTGAAATTTGTCCAGCTCTCGTTTCCTTTTTTGTTTTTCTTCTACAACGGCTGGGTCAGCCGAAATCGATCCAAGCATTTTTATTTTTATTTTATTTTATTTTATTTTATTTTGCGAGATGGACCAAGATAATCATGTAAAAAGTTATTTTGAATGAAATGAAGTATTTTACCAAAAGCTTCGTTCCTTTATGTTTATGCTTGCGAGTTCATTATTTAGTTTTCTAAGTCAAAAATTTTAAAATATATATTTCAATGACATGTGCAAGTGAGAAAGTTTATGTGGTATAAAATACTCTATTATAAAAAACAAGATTGAAACTATCATATTTTAAGAATAAAAATTTTAAACTATCTTGTTTTAGGAAAATAAAGAGGTTTACTTTCTTTTTGACATCATGGATTTGAATCTTGGGACCACGGCATATGGAAATTTATTAAAATATTCTAAAGGCATCATGTTAATCAAAGTGATGAACTCTTAAAATCTTTTAAAAAGAAAATTTAATCATGAGCAAAATGAGCAAGTTTAATGTACTGAATTGGAGCTATGGTCTTTGCATGAGAAAGTTTGGCCTAAGCGAACTTGAGCAAAAAATAATAATAATAATAAAAAAATTCCAGTTCCATGTACGGAAAATCAAGTAATAAATGATTTTTTAAACCTTTTTTACATTTTCTGGCAATAGCATTTATTTATAATTAAAATTGGGAGCATAGTAAACGCAATTCTTGCTTTTTATTTTTTATGATTTTTCTCAAAATTATATCATGCAGACTCCTCACAAGCACACTAGAAGTAGAGATAAAAATTTATTGATAGCAGACTCGATTAAACAAGTAATTTTGTCGCCTACTTGGAGAAACATTGTAATATGCAATGCAAGAGGAAACAAGCGAGGTGTTTGATGCTGGAATGGAATTTGAGCAAACCTTTGGAAGAGAAAAAGATGTTTGAGGTTATCAGATCAACTGACTGCAAAAGTGAAAGTGTTGGCTTTTTCCAAACAGTAGCAGTGTTGATTAATTATCAGTCTTACCTTCCCCACAGATTTGAGTAAACCAAACTAAACCTCCCTATATATATATATATATATATATATATACATACACATATAATCATGTTACGTACCACCACTACTCAGCTCATAACATATTTGGACATAAAATATATTTTTGCTTGATTATTTTTAAAAGATATTATTACTTAAAAAATAATATTCATTAAATAGTAAGCGAAAATTTGATATATTAGCTAATTATATTGATTTTTGATAATTAATACAAGACATTCTGGAATATTCAAAAATATGATTGTCAATTTATATTTGTAATCTTATTTTTATTAACAAAATATTTGAAACATAAAAAACAGAATCCATCAAGGTAAGCTAAAGATGCATTTTTATATGTTTCAAAAAGTTACTGATTAGCTTCTGATAAAGCTTGTGGATGTCATAAAGTCGTACTTATTGAGAAATGACGCACGAAGTGGTGATGAAATTATATGGTCTATAATTAACCAAAAACAAGAAATCGTACGTTTTGTTTTGCTTGGTTATTTTTTTCTAAAAACACTTTGAAATTGAAAGAGAAAAATAAAACTGAAAAAGAAGAGAACGCTTAACGTTATATCATGCAACTGTTGATAGAAAAGACGTAAAGTGAATAGTAATGTAGTAGGTTGAAAAGTCCTGCCTTGCTGGCTAAGGCTTGCTGTGTGTTCCTTCCTTTCCCTTCCCGATAATATTATACCCTCTGCCTTCCTCTGCTCTCCACAGCCTTAAAAAACCATAACTTCACATACATAGAACTGCAGTAATGACGTCCCTCTCCCTCTCTCTCTTCTTTTTCTTCTTTGCTTTTCTTTTATTCTCAAGTTTTTTTACGGTTCGCACGCTGAGACACTTCTGTCTATTCTCTCTCTTGAATGTTGTCTTGCTAACCCTAATCCTTCCGTCATAATTTATGGAGCTATTGCCAAACACCTAAAACTTGAGAGTAAATTATATAAATAGGTCCTTTGGTTTTAAGAAATGAGTTAATTAGTTGATTTCTGTCTTAAAGAAATTAATTTTTAAAAGAAGAATAACTAATTACTCTATATCCTTGTGATTGATTTTGAATAGACATGATAAGAAGTCTTTAGGTACTGCATCGTTCATATGGCAACATGTTCGTGCGTGTGGTTGTGAAGGGGAAAGAGAAGTGCAAATACAAACAAAATGTTCGAAAAGGATGCACCAACCCAATGTTAGATTTTTATCGATATTGCTAGTCTTTAATTAATTGAAACATAGCATTTTATTCAAGCAATTACAAATAATTTATAGAGTTTATCCATTAACTATTTGAAAATGTAACCGGACGCAACTCTTGTCAAATATTGTTTATATTTCAAATGATTTATGATCATAAAATATCACTAGAATCATATAACTAAAATTGAAAAACCATTACTAATCTGTATAGGGAAATTTTTTTTGTACTAATATATTTTGCAAGTTGCAAAACTGAACCATTCAAAAAAATAAAATAAAATTGACCCATCTTATCATTTTTTTTTAATGGACGGATATTTGATGGATAACAATTTTTTAAGTTATCCTTAAAAAATAATAATAACTAAATTTTATGTTATAAATGATTATTCTATTAAGAAAATAATTTTTTATGCCAAAAAAATAAAATCTATTTATTTTGTGAAATAAATAAACTAAAAAAAACATAAAATGAAAAAAATGACTAAAAATTAGTTTTTGGGAAGAATCCTTTTATTTTTTTTGGGGGCCAAAGGAGTCAAAGCTTTATCAAAACACAATACTACTATTCTTTGATAGATCAAGACATTGTCTTTTCGAATAGTGTTTATGATTAGAAGATATATATTCTTCAAATTATTTTGATTGAAATTCTTTGTATTTTTTATGTGTTGATTATGAATATCTACTCATTATTTTGTGTTGTTTAAGATTTTTTATTATAACATTATTAATTATAAACTGACATAGATATGACGTGACATAGCAATTTATAAATACGTGACATATATGATAAATAGGATCCCAATAAAAAAGAATCAATTAAAATTTTTGTACAACTAGGAGGTTTTAATCAAAACAATTCAAAGATCATAGGGATCAATTTTTTTTTTGTTTTTCATTTTTATGTTATTATGTTCTTAAAACCTTATATTGAATGTCACTAAACGAATCTTGTATAAGACCCCATTGTTGGACAGTTACAATCATTTTATAATTTGTTTGAACCCCTTCCATAGAATATAATGTTCTAAATATTTTGCTTTTGCTGTGTCAAATGTACATGTAGATTTACTGAGAAACAATGTATTGTAGCTTGGTATATTCAAAACAACTTTTAAATGCTGCAAATATTATGTTAAAGTTTTGTTGAAAACAAATATATCACAAAAAAGTCTAAAATGAATTTTTGAAGAAAAGTCGAAAATTTTCATTCATAAATAATTGAAAATTGTTGAGAGCATTTGTCAAACTAAATAGCATTGTCAAGTATTCATAATGATCATTGTATGTAAAAAACATAGTTTTAGAAATGTCTTGAATGTTCATTCTTACTTGTGGATATCTTGCACAGAAGTCCAGTTTAGAGAAAAAAGTAAAACCATACAATTCATTTTGTGTCCAATCTCATAGTAGGAATTGTACTAATTGTTACAGGTTCAAAGAAAGGTTCTGTCATTGAAAAAGAGTCGAGTCACATAATTGAAAAGTTCGGAGTTTGAAGGAAAATTATATATAATCCCCCCTAGCTGATTTATTTCATCTTATTTTTTAGAAGATGCCGACCCATTGAATTTAAAAAAGAAAAATGCAGTTCTAAGTACTGTTATCCAATTTTCTGTTAGAAAATAAGAAAAGCTCGTTGGCATATGGAGAGGGGAATTAATTAGATATTCATTGTAGATTGGCGAGCTAGACAATCAATCAATCAAGACGTTAATTCCAATTTCGAATACGAACTAGCTAGCTGGTATCAATAATGAAGTAGTTTGCTGTCTCATCATTGGGACAGGCAGTCGTATCTCCAGTAGACAATACTTTGGTACCTGTAAACTTCTAAACCTGTACTGAAATCCAGTAAAATGAAAGATGATTTAGTGGTTAAGACGAGACAATCATAGTGATTTTGAACCAACAGGAGAATGAAAATAGCTGGAATCAACTTATTTTTTGGGCTTCATAAATGCACCAAATTTATTGAACTGACAGATAAGATTTTCATTTTGGTTTTACCTTTGAAGATCAATTTGCCTTGAGGGCCTGAGGCATCATCCCACGAGGATTCAAATCGGACCAATCCGTTTTTTTGTTCAGATAAATATCGAATTCCATACATGCAAAGAAAATTCCTATTTATTATGTCCATGATTTAGATTTTTATAATCCATATAAATGATTCAGACATTTATGCCCCATATGAATGGTTTAGACTTTTATGAACCGTTCGAATGATAAAATATTTGTTAATTAGCTATTTATGTCATTTTTAATACTCAAATATTTTTATCTCAGTTCACTTGCATTTTAACATCAACTATTTAATATATGTAAATAAATTATAAAATAATTCTTTTATTGTAGTTAACTAGTCTTCTTTACTTAAAAAATTAATTATTTAATTCATCAATATTGTTAATTTTATATTATTTTATATTTCATATAATATATATATATTTTTCATTAATCATTTCACATTTTTATTTTTATTTTATTTTAAAAATAGAGTTATGAGAAAATTTTAAAATAAAAAGTCTAAATAATTATTTTTTTGAATAAATAGGATTAATTAATTTGTTTTTAAAAATAAAACAACTAATTTATAATTTAGTCCAGTTCACATGGTAAGTATTCATCATAGAAATTTGTTTTAGTTTTCCGCCCAACTATTCTTCTTTGCTTTCCAAATTCGAAAAAGCGTACTTGTTTCCTCCCTTGTAACGTAAAAAAAAAACTCCACGCCTCTCGTCACTTCATGGCTTATCTTCTTCTTCAATCTGGTGATCAACTATGTGAACTCTACTTTTCCATCTTCGTTTTCTATTGCTTCTGACAACCCTCCCCACTACATGGCTTCACTTCATGCCGTCACATCTACGTCAACAGTCCCAACCATCCCGCCCAAGTATCCCGCCCAAATATCCCGCCCACGAGACCTTCTTCACCTGAATTCCAAATTCAAATGAATATCGATCTATCTCCTCTCTTTTAACATTAAAAAACCACTTCATATCTCTTATGTCCTTATTCAATCTGGTCTATTACCAACTTGGTCACTATCTTCATTTTCTGTTACTTGTTATTTTCAATTCTGATTGCAGAGCTCTCTTTGATCTTCAATAACTCTGATCTCTTTACCAACTACATCTCCTTCTCTACCTGTAGGTTTCTCCTTCGCCTCACCTCATGCTTCTTTCTCTGCCTCCCAGCTCTCATAAACCACGTCATGCATCTTACTTTGAGGGTGGTTTTAACAAAAGCAAAGAAATGTGTCGAAATCTGGGTGACGACATACATTATGCTTCTCCAATCATTCCCTTGACGAGAAAGACAAATGAGGTGGATGTGGTACGAGGTGTTGTTCAAATGATGTAAGGACTTCTTTAATAGACTCTGTTAATGTGTTATTTTTTAGAGTATTGTCACAGAATATGCGGAAGAAGAAAAGTTTAGAAATTTTAACTTGGGGAAGGACTACCACGATAAGCAACTAACACCATGATAGAATTCTGCAGGAACACTTGAATATCATCAATATAGAAAATCCTTATAGTATCTTGTTATATGCATTTATGTGTCACTTACAGTTCATCTATCTGAGTGGAAATTGGTACTTTAAATGGGAAGCTTTTGTCTTGTACAATTACATATTTAGATTATTAGTAATTTTTTTACTATTGAATGCATTATTGTTTCGGTCATTATGAATTACTGTCGTGATAATATAATTCATTATTGGTCCAAGTGATTTCAGAATCAGAGATAACTATAGTTCCTAAAGCACAGAGAACTTTGCCATTATATTTAGGTCTATTTCAAGGGCGGCGAGAATATTATTTTCAGTCAGACCAAAGGAGATGGTGATGAAGTCTCTACGGCATTAACACACAGTATAGCTTCCGAGACATTGTATGGAGGTATATCTCAGCATCAAAGGGAGAGAACTTTGAATCATTTTGGACGGGGAAAGTTGACCAAGCATGTTGCCACAGACGTCGCATTTCGTGGGCTTGATATCCAGAATGTTGATTTGGTGAAGTTATGGAATTGCTTTTGTAATGATTGCATAAAGAACTGTTTTTTTTGGGTTTATTTTGATGCTAATCGGTTTTATCCATTCTAACAATCTGCAGCAGGAATTAGGGAGAAGAAAGCAAGCTTTTGTAAGGAAAAAAACCCGACAGCTACTCCTTACATCGGAGGTAATAATGCCCAAAACTTGTGGTTTCAAATGCAATGGATCCCAATGTCACTTCTTATTTTGTATTTCTTTGACAATTATTGTGTCATAAGTCGCACCAGTGCATGGGTATTGTCTACTGGGAAGTTGCATGGAGGTTCCTTATCAAAGGGATCCCTTCATTTTTTGTCAATCTATGATTGCTCTAGTTTGGTTATTGGATTGCAGAAAATTGACGTCCCTTCCAGAGAGTTTGCATTCGGAATTCCCTCCTCCGAAGTTGATTCCTCCCTCAAAGTTACAATCACTTTCGCTTCGGGGATTGCAGCAAATCAACGCAGGCCGCATGCAATGGGATATGCAATAACTCCCTTCTTTCTCGTCTTGAAATCAGTTATCTTGGTATCTGAAATCTCTCTCTCAACTCTAAGGGTCTTCAACACCTCACACCTCTTGAAGAATTAAGCATCGAATCTTGCAGTGAGCTTAGTCTCATTGGACGCCGAATGCAATGGGATTTGCAATCATACCCTTCTCATTTAAATATTAATTTGCATAAATTTATTTGTTAGAATGAATTAATATTTTTGTTTAGAGTTTAGGGGCTTTAGGACAAAGGATTTTGTTTTTGAATTTAGGGTTTGGGGTTGGAGTGGAAGGATTAGTGTTTCAGTTTTTGGGTTTGGATGAAAAATCAAAAAATAAAAAAACAAAAAATATAAAACACTTAAAAATAAGAAATTAAAAAAATTAAAAATTACAAAAGAAAAAATTGAAAAAATAAAAAAATGAAATAAAAAAGAAAAACTAAAAAAAAACATTGAAAACTAGAAAAGACAATAAAATACAAAAAACCGAAAAAAAAAGAGGCAAAAAATCTACGAAGAACAAAAAACACCAAAACAAACAAAAAAGTTAAAAAAAATATCAAAAAGGAAAAAATTTACAGAAGAAAAATGATAATTAAAAAAAAACCAAAACCAGAAAAGAAAAGTGAAAAGGGGAAAAAAATGATAACTAAAAAAAAAAACAGAAACTAGAAAAGAAAAAAAGAGAAAACGAAGAAAAACTGAAAAATACAACCAAAAAATCAAACAGCAAAATGCAGAAAAAAAGAAGCTAATACAAAAAGGGAAAAAAATTAAAAAACCAAAAAACAGAAAAGGAATAAAAATGAAAAAAAATGAAAAACAAAAGATGAAACAAAAAAAAAAAAGAAAACTAAAAAATGAAGAAGCAAAAATTAGGAAAAAAGGTCAGAAAACCCAAAAAACAAAAAAATAAAAAATGAAAAATGAAAATCCAATAATTAAAAAGAAAAAAACGGAAAACCACCCAAAAAAAAAACAAAAAAATTAAAAAGCAAAAAAAAAGACAACTTAAAAATTAAAAATAGAACAATAAAACTGTCAACAAAATGTAAAAACCAAAAAAAAAAATCATAAAAATCAACCAAAAAAGAAAACACAAGAAAAACTCAAAAATCGATAATAAATAATAAAATAACAAAAACAAAATTGAAAAATGAAAAACATAAGAAAAAAAGAAAGAAAACAACAAAAAAAAAGAAAAAACGAAAATAAAAAGGACAAAAAAAATCATCAAAAAAATAAAATAAAAAACAAAAAGCTAAAAAATTTAATTTTAAAATAAAAAGCGAAAAAAATAAAAAAACATAAAAAACAAATAGCACAAAAAAAAAACCAAAAAATGAAATAAAAAAACACAAAAATCTTAAAAAAAAAAAAACCAAAAAGAAAAATGCTGAAACATTACAAAAAAAAAAAAAAAAGATCCAAAAAAATGAGAAAACCAATACAGGAAAAAAAAAAAAGTAAAAATGAAAAAAAAAACAATAAATAGAAAAAGAAGAAAAAACCCAAAACACAAAAAAAGAGGAAAATAAATAAAACAAACAAAAATAGAAATTCGAAAAGAAAAATAAAAAAAAGAAAAAAATATCAACAAATAAACTTCAAAAACAAAAAACTTGAAAACAAAAAATAAAAATTGAAAAACGAATAATGAAAAAAACATAAACGGAAAACCATCCAAAAAAAAAAACATTAAAAGGGAAAAAAAATACAATAAAAAAATTAAAAATAAAGCAAAAAAACCCACACAAAAATGTAAACCAAAAAACAAATCGTCAAAATCAACCAAAAAAGAAAAGACAAAAAAAAACTCAAAAATCGATAACAAAAAATAAAAGAACAAAACAAAAAAGATATTAAAAAATGGAAAAAATAATAAAAAAAGGAAAAAAAACAAAAAAGAAAAAATGATAAGAAAAAAGAAAAACTAAAAAATTAAAATTTAAGATAATAAGTGAAAAAAATAAGAAATAAAAAAAAACAACAATGCTAAAAAAAAAAAAACAAAAAAATGAAGCAAAAGAAAGAAAGAAAGAAAAACATGAAAATACTTAAAAAAAAACAAAAACAAAAATGCTGAAACGTTACAAACAAACAAAAAAAAAGGCCTAGAAAAATAAGAATACAAATACAGGAAAAAACATTAAAAAATAAAAAAAGAAAAGGAAAAAAGCAATAAATAGAAATAAAGAAAAAACACAAAAAAATAACTTAAAAACAAAAAAAAAGGAAAACAAAAAAAAGAAACTAAAAACTAAAAAACAAAAAAAAAATGAAAAACAAAAACCCCAAAGAAAAAAAATTGTAAAAATAAAAATGTAAAAACAGGTTTGGAGTTCGAGGTTTAGGGTTTGGGGTTCGAGGATCGGGGATTGGGGTTTCGGGTTTGGGGTTTAGCGAGTAGGGGTTAGGGTTTAGAGTTTAGGGGTTAGGGTTTCGAGTTTAGGGTTTGGGGTTTGGGGTTTTGAGTTTAGGGGTTTAGGGTTTAGGGTTCGGGGTTTAGGGTTCGGGGTTTAGGGTTTAGGGTTTCGGGTTTTGGGTTTAAGGTTTAGGCTTTAGTGGTTAGGGTTTAGGGATTAGGGTCTAGGGTCTAGGGCTTAGGGCTTAGGGTCTAGGGTCTAGGGTCTAGGGTTTTGGGGTTTTGGGTCTAGGGTTTAGGGTTTAGGGTTTAGGGTTTAGGGTTTAGGAGGGAGGAAGGAGAGGAAAAAAACGCTCTGCAGGTTGTTGACAGAGACTCACGGCTGCCGGAGCTTCATCGCCGTCGTCGACCGTCAGATCGTACTGAAATTTTGATATGTTGTTCGCCTGACTCTGGGCTTCCTTCTCACCGGAGGGATTTGCTGTTTAATTGTCGACCAGGGAGTTACGACCTCTGGAACATACGGGTTGGAAAGCTCTAAGAATTGGCAGTCCGATTGTTACCGCCGTCGGAGCTATAAGTCCGTCGTAGGCCGTCCGATTGAATTGAAATTTGGATATGTGTTTTCTGTAGCTGTCGTCGGAATTCGGACCGAAGGATTTGCAGATCAGAGTTGGGGAAGCAAGGAAAATTGGCGTCTGAGTATTCTGTGATGTTTTTACCGTTTTTCTGGGCAAAAGAACATTGATTGTTTTGGAGATTTTGGCTTTGTTAACCGTTGGATTGAGCTCAATTTTCTACCACAGCTGTGTCTAGTTGGGATCCGGGTTCTGAACGGGGGAGATTGGGGTTGGAGCTGTGAGCGAGGCGTTATCGCTTTCCAACAGAGCCTACCTGAAATTGTGTCGCCGGTTGCCGTCAGGGCAATCGCTCCGCCGTCCACCGTTGGATGAGAGTGAAACCTTTGGGGGAAGATTCGTAGCTCAAGTGGCTACGTGCTCACCGTCCAGAATTTGATTTCATTGGTTTTTGGATTGAAGACAGACTGCTACAATGACTGCCGGAACAGTAACAGCAGCAGCATCCACTTCCACCACAAAAAACGCCACCACCACCCAAAATCCCACCAAACCAGCCACAACCGGTCAGCCGAAAACCACCCAAATCGCCCACAAACTGAATGCCACCACCATATCCACCCCTCCTAGTGGGTCATGGGCTGATCGGGTAAAAGTGTCTAGTGCTAAAACCCGAGCTTCAATCTCATCATTTCCAAGGCAACCAATAGGTACCGTTTTGGAAATTCCAGACCACGTCATTGATGAGAGTTCTTCACGATGGAGCCGATGTTTAGTTGGCTTCTTTCCAGGTGCTCGAGATGCCATTCCATGCGGTGAACTCTATTGCTCAACGGGTTTGGAAAAATTCGGGTCTTGAGAGTGTTTCCTCGACACGACAAGGCTTCATGATTTTTCGTTTCAAGAGAGAGGAGGATGTCCATTTGGTTATGGAGCGGGGACCGTGGATGTTTGGAGGTAAGAGCATTGTTCTCCAACGGTGGCATCCCCACTTTGTTTTTGACAAATCCAAAATTTCAAAGGTTCCGAGTGTGGATCCGACTTCATGGATTGCCTTTTCCGTTGTGGAATGAGGCTTGGATTAGGTATGGCGGCGAGTATGGTTGGAAGACCTTTATCATCGACCAACAAACTCTAGGATGCACTCGACTTGATTATGCTCGGGTTTGTGTTGAGCTGGATGCTTCGATGCCTATGGTTCACTCCTTTCGGTTGAAATGTAGGTTATCTTCAGAGCCTATATCGGTTTCGGTTGAGTATGAATGGAAGCCGAGTGTTCGTGGAACTTGCAAAGTGTTTGGGCATTCGTGCAAGGCTAAGAGTATACCGGTTAATTCGACGGAACCCAAAAATGGAGGGGATGTCTTAATGGCGGGTAGCACCCCTGTTCTTGTTGTTGTCGAGGTTCCTCTGCTTGTGCCTACTCTTGGGACCGTTACGGTAGCCCCGAGTTACTCGGCTAGCTCTTGACCTATTCCGAAGCGAGATGAGTCTGCTGCTCGCGGGCTCTACTTGTTAGAGATGATAGGATGAAAGAAAATT